AAAGCTGCTAAAACGACAGAGAATTTGCTCGTTTGGACGTCATTCTTTCAGGCGTTCGGCTTCAAAGTCTCCATTTGAAAGGAGGGTGTGATCCTATCAGAATCATCCACAGAGGCTCCTCCTCTCCTCTGATCGAAAACAGTACAAACAGTAAATAAAGCAAAGTTTCAAGTAAAAAATCCTTGTCGTTTTAACATTTTAATGCAGAAACGTCACATAATAATAATGGGTGCAATAGTGCTGTTACCTGGGGGAATATGGGTATATTAACAATGCAATATTGGTGTAATATGGGTCTAAAAACAAGGCAATAAAGGTGTAATTTCAGTATAACATGGGGGGGACTTGGGCATAATATGGGTGTGATGTGAACGCCCATTTAAGGGTTAATAAAATGTACCAAAAAAACTAGTTAAATGAGTGTTTTACCTTCATTAAACCTCAGTTTGATGGTCATTAAATGAGTGTGTTTGGTGATTTGAGTGCTTTTCACTCCTCAAGGTAATCCTCTTTAAAGAGTGATTTGAATGCCATTTCTGTGGGGATTTTAGGGATGAGTTAGTGTGTGTGTGTGTGCGTGTGCGTGTGCGTGTGTGTGTGTCACAGAGTAAACGGGACATTTATTAATTATTCTTGCAGGAAGAAGCTTTAAGCTCTTTATGTAACTTCATATCATTTAGGGAAATGTCATTTATGGAATTGATGACCTAAAAAGTTGGTACGCCTGTTACTGCGAGGCTCACAGCTCTGCATGTGAACATCCCATAACTTCCATAGATACACTGTTGGAAAGAGAACAATGTATCCTATGTTCAACAGAAAGATGATGTACGTAGTGTACAAATTGTGGAAGTTAGAGCAAATCAAAGACACATATTTACGAATAAATTCCAACCGCTCCACTCAGAACATTCAGCGCAATACACACCAATATTAAAATCTGAAAACAGAATTTTTACTAAGCGTCAAACAAGGCTGAATATTTGTAAAAGTTTACATGTGATTTTAAAGATATCTTACATCAATAATGTACGAAAGATTTGGAACATTTTAAAGTTTGAATGGAGTTTCTATGTCAATGTGTGAATGAGTAGAAAGCTGTTAAAAAAGTGCACTTTTTTGTGTTTGAATGACGTTTCCACGTTAAGGTGATTGAATTAAATTGGGTTTTTAATATCCTTCCAGTTGTGTCTATAATTTCTTCCACTTAAGTTATACTTAATGATTACCTTTATAAAGTAATAAAATAAGTAAAGTATTGCTGTTAACATTAACTCTTTGTTTCTCTTTCTCTTTCAGAGTAACTTTCTGGGTTTCCCCTCCTTCAACATCAGAGATCTGCTCCGACCCAAAGAGCCTCAAGTCTCCCTCAGGTAAACACCTTAACTAAGACTTAAAGGAGCTCTTAACTTAAGTGTGTCTTATGCAACCAATTCTATTTTAAGAAACCATAACTGAATTTATAGGTTCATCTTAACTTAAGGGTCTTTTGTGTTTCATTTTACAAAAACCTTAACTAAGACTTAAAGTTAACCTTAACGTAAGTGTGTTTTATGCAACCAATTGTATTTAAGAAAACCTTAACCAAGACTTAAAGTTAACCTCAACTTAAGTGTGTTTTATGCAACCAATTGTATTTAAGAAAACCTTAACTAAGACTTAAAGTTAATCGTAACTTAAGTGTGACTTATGCAACCGATTTAATTTGAAGAAAACCTTAACTAATACTTAAAGGAAGACTTCTAAAAAAGGCACATTTTAACTTAAGAATGTTTTGTGCAAAAGATCTTACTTTAAAAAAGTAAGTAAGACACAAAGGTTGTGACTTAAGTGTGTTTCCTGAAACCAATTTTATTTGAAGAAAACCTTAACTAAGACTTGAAGGAAATCTTAACTTAAAGGTGGGGTAGGTAAGTTTGAGAAACCGGCTCGAGATACACTTGTTGTTATATTCCATGGAAAGCTCTTAACATCCCGATAGCAATGAATATCTGAAGTGCTTTGACAAAAAATCCATAAATAAATATCATCTGTGGAAGCTGTAGTACTGTAAAAAGCACGACCAATCATCTGAGCCGGCCCGGCTAAAATAACTGGATGGCCTACCTGCCTGTCAGCCTTCCATCTGTGCACAAACTTATCTCGTGCCCTCATTGGTCATGTGCGCGTTCGTGTGTGTTGGAGGAGGGGCTCTGTAAGGAAGTGGCAGATTTTTTCCGGCTGTGTATTTTCAAATTCTAGCGATCTCGAGCTGGTTTCTCCAAAATCACCTACCCCACCTTTAAGGGTCTTTTGTGCAACTGTTTTATTTTACCAACATCTTAAATGGGACCTTAAGTCAAATATTAATTTATTCGTGTTTTTTGCAACCAATTTTATTTTAAGAAAACCTTAGGTGGGACTTAAGTAAAATCTTAACGTATTAACCAAGGAAACTTTTAAAGGAATTCTGTGCAACACTTAAGCCTTAACTATCAAACTTAAGGGTGTTTTGTGCAACCAGCCTCCAATAACTACCACTAAACTCCCCTTTCCTTCTTAAACTTGACTTTAAACTTCCTTCTCTAAGTTTTACTGCGTGCACTTTGAACCACAGACACTGAAGTGCAGGGTGCTGTCACCTGATTGGCCGTTGCTGGGATACCTGTAGCCAGATGAGGAAGTGAGAGGGTTTCTCCACCTCTGTGTAGAGTAGAGAAACACTTCCTGTTTTATATCACAACATCTGCAGAGTGACAGACGACAGGTAGAGTAACGCAGGTGTGTTTTAAATACTACACCTGGAACAGAGGATCAGGCTTAGTGCTGCACGGCTAGCTGAGGCTAGTTAGCTTTTAAATCTGGTTTATTCATAGTTTGTCTTATTATTTAGTCTTCATACCATCACAAGTTAGCTTAGCATACATGTTATTATCTTGGATGAGTCTCTTTGCATCAGACTAAAGTTCTTTTTATCTGTTAGCTTGCTATTCTAAATCTATTTCATTCATCTTGACAGATATCTTGCTTCTAGTGATCTTTGTTTTGCTAGTTTCTGGTTAGCTATGTCTTCAAGGTTATTTCAAATCTTGTTGTTTACTAGTTGTTTGGTTTTCTCGTATGGTTATTGTTAGCTTTATCTTGCTAGTTATCGTCCTTTGCGCTTGATATGCTCGTTATCTAATTTCCACTAAGATTAATTTTGCTATTTTGTTTGTTTATATAGTAGTTAGCTTTGTCTAGCAATTATTTGTTTGCAGTAAGCTAGTTTTCTTGTTTTCATTAAGATTAGTTTACCTATATTATCAGTTTCTTGTTAGCTTCGTCTTGCTAGTTAGTTGTAGTTAGGTCAGTTAGGTAGTTAGCTTTGTCTTGCTAAATGTACTGGCTCTAGTTAGCTTTTCTAATTTGTTTGTTGCTAGCTAATTTGACCTGCTGGTTATCTTTTATTCAGTCAACATTTCCTCTTATTCATTGGTTTTTATTTAGATTTTTACTATGCTACCTATTATTCTTCCTACTTAGCTTTGTCTTGCTAGTTATTTTGTTTCCTCTGCTCTTCTTTCTTCCCTCCTCTCTCTAATTCAGGACGATGGATGGTGTGAACGAGGTCGGGGAGGTGATGGTGTCCCGTCTGCAGATTGAGGAAGAAACTCCTCCGGATCACAAGGTAAAGGAGGTCATATGTTGAAAAATGTATTTCCATTTCCTTCCTCTCTCTCTAGTTGTACTTGTGTCACATTGAGGTTTCTATTCAGTCGTCTGAGTGAGAAAAATAACAAACAGTGAAGTATTTTTCCTCCATTTTCCTTTATTTCAGTGTCTTTCGCTGTGTGACAGTTTTCACACCTCCATCCACGACAAAGAAAACAGTCCAATGATGAGAGCAGGTGAGAAACAAAGCCTTTATTCTTCCAATGTGTGCATGTTTCTGTGCCTTATTATCGCTTTAATACCATGTGTGTGTGCAGTGTTGTGTTCGCAGGTGTGTAAGGTGTACAGGTTTCAGACGGAGGATCGAAGATGGCTGCTGGTGCGGGAACAGATGTCCGAAACGCCGCTTTCTTTCTCGTTACCCAAACAGCTTCTGAGCCTGCTCATACGCTGCCATACAAGCAGGTGTGTGTTTGTATTTCACCTGTAGAGTGGTGGAAGGATGTCCTATTTCTGAGTTGGACCCTGAAGGCAGCATCTCCCTGGATTATTGCAGAGAATAATCTCCACATATTAACACCACTTTATGATTTCTGAAGTAAAAAGCTAACGATTGGCTATAAAGGAAGCTAAACTAAGCTAAAGGTGGCTAATGTTGGGCTTTAAAAGAACTACAGCACGGTCACATGACTTCACGTCACCACCGCTAAGCTAAAGGAGGCTAATGTTGAGCTATAAAGGAACTACAGCACGGTCACATGACTTCACGTCACCACCGCTAAGCTAAAGGCGGCTAATGTTGGGCTATTAAGGAACTACAGCACGGTCACATGACTTCACGTCACCACCGCTAAGCTAAAGGTGGCTAATGTTGGGCTATTAAGGAACTACAGCACGGTCACATGACTTCACGTCACCACCGCTAAGCTAAAGGTGGCTAATGTTGGGCTATAAAGGAACTACAGCACGGTCACATGACTTCACGTCACCACCGCTAAGCTAATGATGGCCGTGATGACGTTTAGTCGTCTCATTTAAACACTTGTTTTCTCTTCCTCAGGGTGCAGGAGGTGATGGAGCTCGGTGACCTTTCACCCCACTTGGACAGGCTACGCCATGATGTCATCTGCCACTGCAACCACCTGATTGGCTGTTACCAGGAAACACTCGCTGACCTCAACAACCTCTCAGGTGAGATTTAAAGGGCCACGCCATCAAATCAAATTCTATTCTGTGGTATTGCTTCTTAAGATAAGATATACTTATGTTTAAAATCCCCTGGTTGGGGGAGTATGATCTCAGTGTGTAAATGTTTTTATTTTTGTTTTATAATCAGCGTCATCCAGTTTTAAGTCGAGCTGCAGTAAATCAGACCGACAACTTCAGTTTGTTCCCACCAACCTCCACGCTCAGAGGATGGAGGTCACCGAGCCCGACAGCACAGGTATGATATACACCTGAGGACTCTTTAAAGTAGAGACACTACATACTGATATACACCTGAACATCAGCAGGAGAGGACTCTTTAAAGTAGAGACACTACATACTGATATACACCTGAACATCAGCAGGAGAGGACTCTTTAAAGTAGAGACACTACATACTGATATACACCTGAACATCAGCAGGAGAGGACTCTTTAAAGTAGAGACACTACATACTGATATACACCTGAACATCAGCAGGAGAGGACTCTTTAAAGTAGAGACACTACATACTGATATACACCTGAACATCAGCAGGAGAGGACTCTTTAAAGTAGAGACACTACATACTGATATACACCTGAACATCAGCAGGAGAGGACTCTTTAAAGTAGAGACACTACATACTGATATACACCTGAACATCAGCAGGAGAGGACTCTTTAAAGTAGAGACACTACATACTGATATACACCTGAACATCAGCAGGAGAGGACTCTTTAAAGTAGATACACTACATACTGATATACACCTGAACATCAGCAGGAGAGGACTCTTTAAAGTAGAGACACTACATACTGATATACACCTGAACATCAGCAGGAGAGGACTCTTTAAAGTAGAGACACTACATACTGATATACACCTGAACATCAGCAGGAGAGGACTCTTTAAAGTAGAGACACTACATACTGATATACACCTGAACATCAGCAGGAGAGGACTCTTTAAAGTAGAGACACTACATACTGATATACACCTGAACATCAGCAGGAGAGGACTCTTTAAAGTAGAGACACTGCATACTGATATACACCTGAACATCAGCAGGAGAGGACTCTTTAAAGTAGAGACACTACATACTGATATACACCTGAACATCAGCAGGAGAGGACTCTTTAAAGTAGAGACACTACATACTGATATACACCTGAATATCAACAGGAGAGGACTCTTTAAAGTAGAGACACTGCATACTGATGTATTTTGTTTACTGGTGTCTCTGTCTTAGGAGGTGTTTGGTATGAAGTGATCACCTTTGGAGCTCCAGCTGATCATCATCAGGGCTTCAAACATGGAGGACTGAAGAGGCTGCTCAGCAAACACACACACCTCAGAGACAGGTGAGTTAAATCTCAGAGAAATCTACATATTTTCTCACAAATTTGACTTTTATTATCTCAGAGAATATACACGTTATTTTGTGTGTTTTTTAATTTAAATATGTGGTTATTTTTATGTTTTTTTTTTCGTGCTAATTTTCTTAATTATTATATAATAAATGTAGATTATTCAAGTTTTTTTTCATGTGAATGAAATGCGTTTCTTCTGTTAATTCATGAATTATTATTTTCTACTTCGTTTAATTTGATATAAGTGGCTTTAATTTAATACTTTTTTCTATATTCATAACATATTTTTAATTTTTTATCCGTGAGTTTTTCTTCTTAAATGTATCCCTTTTAATTCCCCCTATTTTTTTTTAATTTAAAATGTCTTTTTATATTATGTAACGTCCTTTAAAACAACATTTAATATTGTTTATTTTCTTCTTTCCAGCGTTGTGTCTTACTCCCAGGAGGAGAGCTCCAGAGCCAGGGAGCTTCTGGCTAACGTTGCCCAGCTGCAGCCTCTCATTTTCGGACTCGCTGAGGAGCTGCTCTCCGTCTCTCTGGAGCAAAACAACACCCGACTGCAGCCGGTGCTCCACTGCCTCACGCAGCAAGTGAGGAGGAAACATTTATAAATAGATTTAGTAAAATGTGGTTAATTTTTTGTATAATTTTGATAATTTTTTGTGAGATTTTCTCCTTAAACGTATTTCTTTTAAATGTGTATATTTTATCTCAGGGAATTACAAAATGTGTTTTTTCTGGCAGATCTAACTTTATAATTTTAGAGAAAATACAGTAATTATTTAGGACTTTTACAAACTTTTTTCTCACGCAGACGAAGCAGTTTGTCCACGCTTTAAAAGACGAGCTGGTGAAGAGCGCCTTGATAGCGAGCCACGACCATAGCAACCTATGTGAAAACTCAACAGCCAATCAGGAGGGGGCGTCGACACCGGGGCAACAGGACGCCTGGCAACAGGAGGCAGATTACGACGAGGAGGAATGGGTAAGAGTGTGAGAGTTACCGTTAATTACCGTTTTCACAATTAAATAAACTAATGGTGAGAAAATATGTATTTATGTTCTAATTTAATCAAATGTGATGTGTGTGTGTGTGTGTGTGTGTGTGTGTGTGTGTGTGTGTGTGTGTGTGTGTGTGTGTGTGTGTGTGTGTGTGTGTGTGTGTGTGTGTGTGTGTGTGTGTGTGTGTGTGTGTGTGTGTGTGTGTGTGTGTGTGTGTGTGTGTGTGTGTGTGTGTGTGTGTGTGTGTGTGTGTGTGTGTGTGTGTGTGTGTGTGTGTGTGTGTGTGTGTGTAGGACAGGGCGTGGGCGAATGTCGGCATGAGCCTCAACTGCATCATCGCCATGGGTGACCGGCTGCTGGGGAAAGAGGAAGTGACATCATCAGAGAACCAAGAACCAGATCACTCCCAGAACACCGGTGGGACGATATTTTGTACTGAAAACGACTAGAATTTATCGTGTGTTGCTTCATGAGGAGTCTAGCCCAGGAGTTATTATATGAACCACAAAGGTTGATTTGAGGGAATGCACCTCACTATGCTCAGTAGTGTTGTAGTCAAGACCACCTTAACCAAGAACAAGACTTTAAGAGGCCAAAACCAAGATCAAGACCAAGACTTTAAGAGGCCAAGACCAAGACTTTTAGAGTTCGAGACCAAGTCAAGACCTTAAGGGTACATTCACACCTAATAGTCCGCTTCTCTGGTGTGCACCAGACCACAGTTTGTTACATTGTTTCATTTTTCAGAAGGTTCGGTTTGCGTTCACACGGGCAAAACTCAAACGGACTATAAACTTTAAACACAAGTCATGTGCACGGAAATGCTGTTCAACCATTGGTCAGACATTAAGGGGGTAAAAACGCAAATCCCGGCAATTTCTACCGGAGACTTTCGGCAGGTTATTCTCATGCTGCTGTTAATCTGGAGATCAACAGACATTAGCGGCGCATATGATTATATAATCAGACAACGTCCGTTAAAAAACATTATAACACATCAATGAGAGACGTTCTGCAGTCAGGAGGGGCGTTTCACCGACGACAGGTGTTCTTAATTTTATGTAGTTGACGGAGCATTTTTACTTTACACGACACTGTTCAACACTTCATCCTGCTTCACTCTTTAACTAAACAACCGCGGATGTCTTGAAAGACTCTTTCGCTAAAGATTTTTGAAGACATCCGCGTTCTTGTGACACGTAAATACTACGCTTCCTATGTTTTGGTGCGGACTGCGTTCACACCAGCAATGAACCGCTCCAGAGTTCGCAAGCAAGCGTTCCGAGACCACCTATTCTAGCGGACCAGAGTCCGGTTGTTTAGTTCACTTAAGAGGTCTCGGACTATGTTCACACCGACCCAAATGAACCGCACCAAGCGGCTAAACGCACCAGGGTTCGATTCAACCGGACTATAAAAGGCTGGTGTGAATGCACCCTAAGAGTGCAAGACCATGCCAAGACCAAGACCAAGACTTTAAGAGGTCGAGACCAAGTCAAGACCAAGACTCTAAGAGGTTGAGACCAAGTCAAGACCAAGACTTTAAGAGGTCGAGACCATGCTAAGACCAAGACCAAGACTTTAAGAGTTCGAGACCAAGTCAAGACCAAGACTTTAAGAGTTTGAGACCATGCCAAGACCAAGACTTTAAGAGGTGGAGACCATGCCAAGACCAGAGTGTACCAAGACCAAGACTTTAAGAGTTCGAGACCAAGACCAAGACTTTAAGAGTTCGAGACCATGCCAAGAGTTCGAGACCAAGACCAAGACTTTAAGAGTTCGAGACCAAGTCAAGACCAAGACTTTAAGAGTTCGAGACCAAGTCAAGACCAAGACTTTAAGAGGTCGAGACCAAGTCAAGACCAAGACTTTAAAAGGTTGAGAGCAAGTCAAGACCAAGACTTTAAGAGTTTGAGACCATGCCAAGACCAAGACCAGAGTGTACCAAGACCAAGACCAAGACTTTAAGAGTTCGAGACCATGCCAAGACCAAGACCAAGGCAGGGCAAGACCGCATCAAGACCAAGACTTTAAGAGGTTGAGACCAAGTCAAGACCAAAACCGGAGTGTACCTAGACCAATTCAAGACCAAGACTTTAAGAGGTCGAGGCCAAAACCAAGACAGGGTGAGACCAAATCAAGACCAGAACCAAGACTTAAGGTTGTAAACTGTATGGATAATAGCGAAACTACAACTCAAGATGGAAGTGTATTTAAAGAAATGGTCTAACTGTTATAAGGTATTTAGCAAAGCGAACATATTGTAAACCTCTCATTGGACTCTCTGTATGTCTCATACTTCTGTAATGATAATTGCTTTTGTGTATTGAACTCCTTCAGCCTCCTGGCAGGAGCAGCTGCTCCCCCTGGTGGTGACTCTGAGGGACTGTGTGAGGGAGGCGGAGCTTAAGGCCCGCGTTGCCATGGCGTTCGTGATGATGCAGGCGGCGGCGGCCATGACGGTTTCTGAGGGAACGACAAACATCGTGCAGCGACGCCACGCCGCGTTCAGCCAGGCGGTGAGAGGAGGAGCTAATGAAGTGTAGAATAATTATACAGATTTATGCTTTTATTGTATTTTTTGTGTACTATTATTTTTTCTATAATTATACAGATTTATGCTTTTTGTTTTTAGTGTACTATTATTTGTTTTGTACACTTGTATTCTTTAAATAAGTTGTACCTTTCTCTATGATCTCATTTGCAAAAACTGTGCATAAAAACGTTGTAATAATTTATAATATTCAAGTTTTTTCTCGTAAAGTTGGTGATTTTAATCAAATTAATATCTAATATTTTTTCCACAAATGTTCTTATGTTTTTTCTTGGATCATTTATTTTGTTTTATTTATTAATCATATCTCAGATTTGTTTTTATTATTTATTTGTAATATTTTTATTTTATCATATTTAATTTCCATATTTTATCTTGTTTTTTTCCTATTTATTAAATATTACCATATTTGATCCCATATTATCTATGTTTTTTATATCTATGTTTTTTATATCTATGTTTTTTATACTTGGTATCTCTCCTCTTCCCTCCAGCTGTCGGCCTTGGTGTGTGGTTTCGTGTTGCGTTTGTTCTCAGCTCTGCAGGATCAGGACTTCCTGCAGCAGCTGATCTCTGCCGGACTCCTGGTGCAGTTTGAAGCTCTGCTCAGCACCTACGGTACACACACACACACACACACACACACACACACACACACACACACACACACACACACACACACACACACGCACTGTCTGCAGTCTAACGTGTGTGTGTGTGTGTGTGTGTGTGTGTGTGTGTGTGTGTGTGTGTGTGTGTGTGTGTGTGTGTGTGTGTGTGTGTGTGTGTGTGTGTGTGTGTGTGTGTGTGTGTGTGTGTGTGTGTGTGTGTGTGTGTGTGTGTGTGTGTGTGTGTGTGTGTGTGTGTGTGTGTGTGTGTGTGTGTGTGTGTGTGTGTGTGTGTGTGTGTGTGTGTGTGTGTGTGTGTGTGTGTGTGTGTGTTAGGTGAGGAGGTGGGCATGCTGGAGGACATGGAGGTGTGTGTTTCCGATCTGAGCCGAGTGACGTTCACCATCATCGAAGCAAAGAGCGAAGAACCAGAAGATCTGCTGCCAACACTGAGAGGAGAATGGTGGGTCACACACACACACACACACACACACACACACACACACACACACACACACACACACACACACACACACACACACACACACACACACACTCTCTCTCTCACACAGTGTTTCCTCCTCTCAGGGTCAGTCTGGTGGTCGAGGTGCCGTTGCCTCCGGAGACGTTTCGCTCGTTGCCGCAGGAAGTGAGAGACGGACGTTTGATCCGGGTTCATCCGGTCCTCTTTAACATCGGAATAAACCAGCAGCAGAGTCTGGCTGAGAGGTACACACACATCAATACAGACATTACAAAAATAAGATAATATTTTAATTAATATAAACTTAAGAGTGTTTGTGGTTGCAGGTTTGGGGACAGCTCTCTGCAGGAGAGAGTGAACCAGCAGAGCTGCGAGCGTCTGAGAGTTTACTGCAACACGCTGAGAGACACGCTGCCAGTGACGGGTAACACACTCTGATTATTATATGGTTGTTATTGTTTTTGACATGATGCACATTTTCCTGATTTTTTCAGAATTTCTCTGATTTTTTAAAATTATTCAGAATCTTCCTTCATTTGTTCTTGATTTCTTTTTTTTTTCATAATGTCTTTTCTGAATTCTTCCGGATTTTTATGAGTTTCTGTTTTTCCAGTTTTTTTCCGACTTTCTTTGTTTTTTGGTAAATTCTTCTTGATTTTCTGATATTTTTCAGATTTTCCAGATTTTGTTTTCCTTTCTTAATTTCCCTGACTTCCTGTTCCTCAGCTGGTGTTCAGTCTCTGTCGGACTTGTTGTCGTCTCTTGAACGCTGCGTGGAAACAAAGAAGAGGAAAAACGTGGAGGTTCTCTGGATCGCTGCGGCGGTGAGACACAAAACAATCTGTGGAATAAGACTAAGCAACTAAGATGTTAATTTCATCCCTTTTAAGATGTTTATAAAGGTGTGTGTGTGTGTGTGTGTGTGTGTGTGTGTGTGTGTGTGTGTGTGTGTGTGTGTGTGTGTGTGTGTGTGTGTGTGTGTGTGTGTGTGTGTGTGTGTGTGTGTGTGTGTGTGTGTGTGTGTGTGTGTGTGTGTGTGTGTGTGTGTGTGTGTGTGTGTGTGTGTGTATATAGGTGTGTCGTTCTGTGCGAGGTGTGCGTCTCACCAGCTGTAAAAGTGCGAAGGACCGCACGGCGATGTCAGTGACTCTGGAGCAGTGTGTGTTACTGAGAGAGAGACACACACTCTGCAACACACACTTCAGCACCGCACTGCACTGCATGAGGAGGTACACACACACACACACACACCGTGACACTGTGACATCACTATGAAACACTCGCGCTCCTACATGTTAATAGTTTTTTTCATTCATAATTTTCTTATCTTTATCCCCCATTTTAATTAATGTTCTTACGCTTTCATTTCCTTTATCTTTTTGAATTTTCTTCTGCAGATCATTTTCTGTTTAACTTTATTTTTCCATCTTATTTCCCTCCTTTTCTTCCAAATGTTTCCTCGTTTTATTCCTCCATTTTCTTCCTCTTTTTTCCACTTTTTCTACCCCATTTTTCCTCCATGTTTCTTCCTTTCTTCCTCCCCCTCCTGCTCCTCCAGGTCCAGGGTGTTTTGGGGGGAGACTCTGGGCTGTTTCCCCCCCTCAGACCCCGGCTCTCAGGCCTGTATGGCCCCTAAACCTCCCAGAAGGCACCTGTACCCAGTGGCCTTCCTGCTGGTTTCCTCTCACCTGCTGGTCCTCTGGCTCATCTTCAGCCTCGTGCTCATGCTCAATAAATACCAGTAGACCCCCCAAAAAAAAACAGGCAGATTTACTACAAACAGCTGCAACCATCAGTCCATCTGCAGATATGTTCACGATCATTTACAAGAGATCATAAAGAAAGTCAGAAAGTGCTTTTTTTTCCCAGTTTGATTTGATTTATTTTGAACGTGTAAAACAATAATACAAAAAATAATAATACCTAATTACACATCCGAAACGGGGTGGGAAGAAGTTTACACTTATTTAATCCCACCCCTTCTCCCCAAAACTCAATTATTAACATTTTTGTATATATCATTTTTAATCAAATATACAAATATGCTGCTTTTCTCTGTTTTTTTCAGACACTTTTCACTATTTTACAGACAGTTAGGACATTATTATATAGCTGCTGCGATTTGTCGACTCACGTTAGTCGCTCAAGAATAAAATGATCTCTAAATCTGGGAATTATATATATTTATTCATGCTTTTATTCTTGTATTGATGATATTGTGATGTGTTCAGGGCCGGCTGCAGGATGGAGAACGTTCAGAAGAACATCGGCAGCAGGAAGTTCGCCTTCAGCGGCGTTCAGCTGCTCACTTTCCCCAAACTGTACCGCCCTCCCGAGGGAAGCTTCGGATAGAAACTCTGACCGTTACTTTATTTATGTACAGATACTCTTATAGATCATGAGATGTTTGTTTTATCTTGTAAAGTGTGTGTTGTTGTTTTATATATTTGTATGTCAGTGTCCCTCTGTGCAGGCGTTGTTTCTGAATTAAATGAATACTTGATTTCATCTGATTTATTTCTGTCTTATTTATTAAACCACATGGCGGGTGATGTTTACTGGATTAACACATCTGCAATTTATATTATAATACAAGATGTTACACTACAATGACGATGCAGAGAGCCACGTTGAGTTTAAAACGTGCGCATTTGAAGTTAAAGGGGACCTATCATGCAAAATGCACTTTCTGATGTCTTTTATACATAAATATGTGTCCCCTGTGTGTCAGGGAACTCACGCAGCGTCAGAAAATAAAACCCTCTCTTTTCCTCCGTACCCAAATCTCTAAAAACGGGGCTACAACGGAGCTGATTCAGATGTGCGTCCGATATGACGTAATATCTGAAATGTGGACCCACGGCCCTATCAGAAACGTTGCTATCAGAAACAATCCCCGACTGTTTTGGACATAATATGGTCGGTGTTTACATTAGCATCGCTAACACTCAGAGCTAACCTGTACTGGAGAGCATGTGTGTGAAGAAGCAGGAAATAAAAAGGAACTCACCTTGTGGTATAACCGGCAAGAGAGAAAGCCTTTGAGCTCCATACTGTTTCAGAAAGAATCCTTGATATGGCGTTTCATCACGGCAGTATTTAGTTTAGACAGTAGCTGCCGGGTCCCGCATGAGCTCAGACCCATCCTTTTTTATTTTTTATCAATTTTCTTTTTTAAAGCTTTATACCCAAAATCAGCACTTTTGAAACAGGAAGTGAAATAGAGGGATATGAGGCATGGCTTGAATGGGAGATCTGCTGAGACCTATGCTATTGCCTAAAAATAGCATGATAGGTGCACTTTAATACAACTATTTAAAAAAGTAATTACTGCAACCCGTAGAGCCGTTAGACCCTATTTTCTGTTTGTAGTTTATTGACGTTTTTATTGAAAGTTATCTGGTCCAGGGTATAAAAAGACACTTATAGTTGATTATTTATCATTTTTTTAAGCTTTTATTATCATCAAAATTACTGAAGTACACGTTTGAATGCTTTGACTTCTAATGGATTTTTCGACTATTTTATTTCAGTTTTTACTTGGGTAAAACAGTAAAAGTCTGGTGTGTTTCTGTTGTTTGTGTGTTCAGCTGCAGTCCCTCTGCCTGGCCGCTAGAGGCGCCAAATACACTCAGAACGGAAATAAAAAGCGCTAAACTTCTAAATAAAGGAAACACTTTAATTTGTGTAGTGGGAAACTTTCTTAAAATCATAACTTAGTGCTACTTTGTACTTCTACTCCACTACAGTTCAGAGGTAAATGGTGTACTTTTACTCCACTACATGTATGTAATACCTTTAGTTACTTTACAGATCTGGATGAATGATGTGAAATCTAATCAAGTGTTAAATCAGACTTTAGTTCCACCTGGAGTAAATTCACAAGCTACCCTGCAGTATACAAAGTCATTCAAACTAGCTGCACCTTTACCAGCTTTGAGAACACTTTCATGATCAATCATTATAAAACATATCATATATATTATTCTGAAATGGACCAATCTGCACAATCACTACTTTTACTGTCGCTACTTTAACGTGGCGGCCTCTCCCGGTTCTCTCTCCCCGGTTTTAGAGCACCATGGCCCCGGGTTCTCTGGTGGCCGCCGTCCGCATCCTGGCTCTTTCCTTCTGCTTCGTCCACCTGCTGTGTCTCGACTTCACTGTGGCCGAAAGAGAGGAGTGGTACACGGCCTTTGTAAACATCACCTACGTGGACCCGGCCACCTCGGAGCTCCGGACTGAGAAGACTGAGTGCGGTCGCTACGGCGAGCACAGCCCGAAAAAAGAAGCCAGAGGGGTGGTGGTTCTTCCCGGAGCTCCACAGGACCGGCAGGCCTGCGACCCAAACACCCGCTTCCTGGTGCCCGGTCCGGCCGCCTGGGTGGCTCTGATCTCCCGGGGAAACTGCACCTATAAGGACCAGATCCGCCATGCAGCCGCTCAAAACGCGTCCGCGGTGGTGATCTTCAACGTGGGCTCCATCAACGCCAACGAGACCATCACCATGCCCCATCCAGGTACTTTTTATTATTATTATTATTTCACACCATCACCATGCCCCATCCAGGTACTGGTGTTATTGTTTATCTCTATAAAAACGCAGCTGAAGAAACGTAACAAATCAATATGTTTTTCTAAAAATATTTCGACTTTTTCCCAACATTTTACTTGCAAAATTAAGATTTTTTTTTATCCAATTATCAGTATATTTCTCTTTAATTATCAGAACTTTTTCTTTCTGGAAAATGTACAACTTTTTTCAACATCAGCAGGAGAGGACTCTTTAAAGTAGAGACACTACATACTGATATACACGTGAACATCAGCAGGAGAGGACTCTTTAAAGTAGAGACACTACATACTGATATACACCTGAACATCAGCAGGAGAGGACTATTTAAAGTAGAGACACAACATACTGATATACACCTGAACATCAGCAGGAGAGGACTCTTTAAAGTACAGACACTACATACTGATATACACCTGAACATCAGCAGGAGAGGACTCTTTAAAGTACAGACACTACATACTGATATACACTTGAACATCTGCAGGAGAGGACTCTTTAAAGTAGAGACACTACATACTGATATACACTTGAACATCAGCAGGAGAGGACTCTTTAAAGTAGAGACACTACATACTGATATACACCTGAACATCAGCAGGAGAGGACTCTTTAAAGTAGAGACACTACATACTGATATACACCTGAACATCAGCAGGAGAGGACTCTTTAAAGTAGAGAGACTACATACTGATATACACCTGAACATCAGCAGGAGAGGACTCTTTAAAGTAGAGACACTACACAGGCAGTATGAGAAAAACAGATTTGAAGTGTATAGTTGTTTGACCACATTTACCTTACAGTGACCCCTCAAACTGACCCCCCCCCCCTCTCCTCTCAGGTACAGGTGATCTCCTGGCCATCATGATCCCGGAGCCTAAAGGTCGGGAGGTCGCGGCGCTGCTGGAGCGCAACGTGACGGTAACCATGACGATCACCATCGGCACCAGGAACCTGCAGAAGAACGTGAGCCGAACCTCGGTGGTGTTCGTCTCCATCTTCTTCATCGTGCTGATGATCCTCTCCTTAGCCGGGCTCGTCTTCTTCTTCATCCAGAGGTTCAGATACGCCAACGCACGGGACCGCAACCAGGTACACACACACACACACACACACACACACACACACACACACACACCAGAGTTCCCGTTAGAATTTCTTTTGCCGGTCAACATGTCCGTTAAAGTTTAAATCTTCCGGACAAAAGTAGAAAAGTGCCGGTCAAAGGTCTTCTTTGTTATTTATTCAGCTTTAAAACGAATTCATATGGTTTGATATTAAACAAACTAATTATAGTAGATTAACTACATTATTCAAACGTGTACAGTAATTTACAATAACACGGGAATAATAAACGGAGCGCTCTCCCCCTCTCCTGACAGCCCGTCAGTATCATGCAGCTCGCGGATCCAGTAATGAGTGACCCGACAGTAAAACTAAACATATCTATAACTAGTTTAGGTAGTTTGAGAGGTAATTAAAATAGCTACGTGTGATGTTCTAACCTGAAGTGTGTGTTTTGTTCCGCTCACCGCTGCAGGTGATCAAGCAGAGCTGCGTGTCGACTCGTCAGCAGAAGCTGATCTCTCTCCCGTCAGATTAGACTTCACTCGCGTTTATGTCCATATCGATCAGATCCAGCTAGTTCTAGCTAATGATATAGTGGAGTCTATTTTTATATAACATTACAAGAGTGATTGTTATTATTACATGATATGCTTATTGTGCTCATGAGATGTTGCTATATGACTATAAACTAAATAGACACAATCACCAGTCCCAGGTTCTGATGTGTTGGATACGAAACAAAGGGAAAAGTCATAGAAGGAAGTTTTAGCTTGCATTATAAATGTTGCAAAAGCCAGGTGCAGACACCGTAGAGACAATGAGTTACTGAGGCTCTGGCCTTGGCCGTGTGTGTGAGCTCCTCGCCTACGCATAACTGGGAATCGGCATAATGGAGGATTCCTCTATCTATTGTAGAAGCTTTAGCAAAACAAATTAGGTAGGATGGCGACTAGAGTAGGGAGGGTCCTTCACCGGCCGGCCGAATGCTGATTGGAGTTCGTGTTGCCAAGAGACTTTGTCTAAGTCTGTGCACCAACCAGGGAGGCCAAAGTCTAAACCACGGTCCTCCCCTTCTAGTCTCAACCAATCATAAATGTACGGGCAGAGCCCTGAATAATAAAAATGTATGCACGCACGAGGTTCAAGGCTTTTTTCCGGAAATAGAGTTACAGATTACAGCTCTGCTGCCTGTGATTTCTATGAGCTGACGGAGTCCTTGGCCAAGTGAAATATATCTGTTGCTCTCTTTTAATAAATAGATAAACTTAGAAGTTGTTTGTCTTTCCTGGAATTAAAAGAACACAACAATATGACTACCTGCTTATCAAAAGACACCTAAACAATAAGCGTCGCTATGCAACCGGGTGAGGCCGCAAAGTATAGCGCAGCATTATGCATTTGCTTACATGCCCACCGGAACCCCGAGGCATTACCAACAGATCAACGCACAATCAACCCATACAGGACATCTCTTTCTCCACATTAACGGCCCCTACACACGGCGGCGTGCGTTGACGCTTCAACGCTTCTGCCCATTCACTATGAATGGGGTGACGTCACGATTTGCCGAACTGCATTCTGGGAGCAAAGCGTAGCTCTTCTCGCGGTGCTCGCTGCAAAAGTAGAGCAATGTTCTATTTTTGAAGCCGAGGCGGAGGCGGCAGCCAATCAAATCCCGCGTATGCAAATCTGACAGTTCAAGCGCTAGCCAATCAAACCGCGTGTATGCTGGGAGAGCCAGACCGCAGTTCATTTCCTCATATGCCAAAAAATGGAGGAGAAAATAATCGTAGCGGTAGGGAATCACCCGGTGCTTTCAGTCCCTGTTCACCTACTGGGATACAAACCGGAGGAGCCAGGCATGGAGGGAGGTGGCAGAGACAGTGGGTGAAACTGGTAGGTTTTCGCCTGTTTGGGGAGTTTATATCCAGTGTACTTCGTTTGAATGGACAGCAGGCATAGACAGTATATTTAGCCACCATGCAATGTTGCATAAAATAGCACCATAGACATTAATTAAAAATCGCTTTTTAGACATTAATGTCTATGGTGAGATTCATACACGGGAGCCTTTTTAAAGCCTTTTTATCCCGCTGCAAACAGAACCCCCCCCCCCTTCCCATCACAAACTTTACACAGACCCCCCCTTCCAATTATCAACTCCTGTCTTGTTTCCGCAAACTCTTGTGTCCTGCAGCAGCTAAACGTTTTGCAAGCCCCCGTTCGTTTAGTACCTAAAATAATAGACATCGCTTTTTCCAGCTGACAAACCCGACTTTCTGGTCACTTCTTCAATTTTCCAGCCCTTGGGGAGAGACACGGGAGATTCATGTGATTGGTTGTTGGTCGCGTTGCTCGCGTAAACTCCCCAAGCTCAAGACACGCCCACCGCCAAGCGGCAACGCACGCCGCCGTGTGTAGGCTGCGTAAGTGTTAGACATTAGAATTTACACTTCTTGTCTGTCACATACTCTTCTTGTCTGTCACATACTCTTCTTGTCTGTCACATACTCTTCTTGTCCGTCACATACTCTTCTTGTCCGTCACATACTCTTCTTGTCCGTCACATACTCTTCTTGTCTGTCACATACTCTTCTTGTCTGTCACATACTCTTCTTGTCTGTCACATACTCTTTTGTCTGTCACATACTCTTCTTGTCTGTCACATACTCTTCTTGTCTGTCACATACTCTTCTTGTCTGTCACATACTCTTCTTGTCTGTCACATACTATTCTTGTCTGTCACATAAGTGGCGCAACTGATGCGGTATTGCGCTAAGGGAAAATAATTTTTGACCGGACATTTTGACCGGAGAGATTTAGATTTGCTGGTTTTCAGCATATTTTACCGGTCATAGTCTAACGGCTAACGGAAACTCTGACACACACACTGCTTATTACATCATCTCTTCTTCTGCATCTTGAAAAAAACATCTCTCATATGGCCCTCCTCCTCTTCCGTACTTTTCAGCTATTACATTTATGAAGTAGATTTTGTGTGTGTGTGTGTGTGTGTGTGTGTGTGTGTGTGTGTGTGTGTGTGTGTGTGTGTGTGTGTGTGTGTGTGTGTGTGTGTGTGTGTGTGTGTGTGTGTGTGTGTGTGTGTGTGTGTGTGTGTGTGTGTGTGTGTGTGTGTGTGTGTGTGTGTGTGTGTGTGTGTGTGTGTGTGTGTGTGTGTGTGTGTGTGTGTGTGTGTGTGTGTGTTCTATTTCTATTCAAATTCAAATTCAAGTACAATATCTGAGTACTTCTCCACCTCTGGTTGTTCTTTACCTGTTTTTATTCATGCTTTAAGATATTGTGGCGTTCAGCTGCTCACTTTCCCCAAACTGTACCGCCCTCCCGAGGGAAGCTTCGGATAGAAACTATGACCGTTACTTTATTTATGTACAGATACTTTTATAGATCATGAGATGTTTTTTTTATCTTGTAAAGTGTGTGTTGTTTTATATATTTGTATGTCAGTGTCCCTCTGTGCAGGTGTTTGATTCACAAACATGTTTCTGCATTAAATGAATACTTGATTTAATCTGATTTATTTCTGTCTTATTTATTAAACCACATGGCGGGTGATGTTTACTGGATTAACACATCTACAATTTATATTATAATACAAGATGTTACACTACAATGAAGATGCAGAGAGCCACGTTGAGTTTAAAACGTGCACATGTTAAAGGTAGGGTATGTACATTTGAGAAACCGGCTCGAGATACACTTTTTGTTATATTCCATGGAATGCTCTTAACATCCCGATAGCAATGAATATCTTAAGTGCTTTGACCAAAAATCCATAAAAATATTTCATCTGTGGAAGCCGTAGTACTGTAAAAAGCACGACCAATCATTTTAGCCGGCCCGGCTAAAATAACTGGATGGCCCACCCGCCTGTCAGCCTTCCATCTGTGCACAGACTTATCTCGTGCCCTCATTGGTCATGTGCGCGTTCGTGTGTGTTGGAGGAGGGGCTCTATAAGGAAGTGGCAGATTTTCTCCGGTCGTGTATTTTCAAATTCTAGCGATCTCGAGCCGGTTTCTCAAACTTGCATACCCTACCTTTAAGCATTTCAACTATTTTACAAAGTAATTCCTGCAACCCACAGAGCCATTAGACACTATTTTTTGTTTATCATTTATTGACATTTTTATTTTTATTGAAAATGTTCTGGTACATGATATAAAAACACACTTATAGTTGATTATTTATCATTTTTTTAAGCATTTATTATCATCAAAATTACTGAAGAACACGTTTGAATGCTTTGACTTCTAATGGAGTATTTTTCGACTATTTTATTTCAGTTTTTACTTGGGTAAAACAGTCTGGCGTGTTTCTGTTGTTTGTGTGTTCAGCTGCAGTCCCTCTGCCGGGCCGCTAGAGGCGCCAAATACACTCAGAACGGAAATAAAGAGCGCTGAACTTCAAAATAAAAGATTGACTTTAATTTGTGTAGTGGGAAACTTTCTTTAAATCATAACTTAGTGCTACTTTGTACTTCTACTCCACTACAGTTCAGAGGTAAATGGTGTACAAGATCTGAGTACTTCTACTTGTACTCAAGTACACGCTAAACGTACATAACACTCCAGCTTTTATTTTGAAAACCCTAACCGGAACTGCTATGCTCTGTTAGCATTCGCTTCACACATCGGGCCCAGTCAAAACAAAGCAGCTGTTTAGCTCCGTTGATGCGACCAGATTCAAAAACATTTAACTGATTATTTGTACCGTTAAATTAACAGTAAATCCACGCTCCGGTGTTTCTCTTCGGTCCCGTGAAGTTGAGCTGTTTTAACGGTCGTTTCTTTCCGAAGCTGTTGAGGATTTTATTGGAGCTGTTTGTGTTCTCGGTTTGGAGGCTAACGGGCGGAGGCTGAAAACACGGGAGAACTGTGAGGAATACAAAAGAAAACAAGGAAAAAAGGGGGGGGAAATAGAGATAGAAAACAAGGGGAAAAGGTGATAAATATAGGTGGAAACACGAGAAAATAGAGGTGGGGAAAGGGTGAAAATAGTGCTCGAAAACACGGGAAAACGGTTCAAATTGAGTCGGGAAAACCGTGAGAATCAGAGGCAGAAAACTGTGAAAAATAGAAGCTGTAAACAAGACAAAAACGGTGAAAATTGAGACTGAAAACAGGGACCAACGGTTAAAATAGAGACTGAAAACACAGACAAACGGTTAAAATAGAGACTGAAAATAGGGACCAACGGTTAAAATAGAGACTGAAAACTGTGAACAATTGAAGCTGTAAACGGCGAAAAGGAAAGCCTTAAAAACACTAAAAATCCACCACGGGAACACAGTGAAAACCAGACCCCCAAATCAGCGGTTGTCCTGGCTAACTTCCCTCCGATTACCCCCTCTTGTCCCCAGATGATGGTGGAGTGACCGGTTCTCTCTCCCCGGGTTTAGAGCACCATGGCCCCGGTTTCTCTGGTGGCCGCCTGCCGCAGCCTGGCTCTCTCCACCTGGCTGCTCTCCTTCTGCTTCGTCCACCTGCTGTGTCTCGACTTCACTGTGGCCGAAAGAGAGGAGTGGTACACGGCCTTTGTAAACATCACCTACGTGGACCCGGCCACCTCGGAGCTCCGGACTGAGAAGACTGAGTGCGGTCGCTACGGCGAGCACAGCCCGAAAAAAGAAGCCAGAGGGGTGGTGGTTCTTCCCGGAGCTCCACAGGACCGGCAGGCCTGCGACCCAAACACCCGCTTCCTGGTGCCCGGTCCGGCCGCCTGGGTGGCTCTGATCTCCCGGGGAAACTGCACCTATAAGGACCAGATCCGCCATGCAGCCGCTCAAAACGCGTCCGCGGTGGTGATCTTCAACGTGGGCTCCATCAACGCCAACGAGACCATCACCATGCCCCATCCAGGTACTTTTACATTTTTTTTAAATTATTATTATTATTATTATTTCACACCATCACCATGCCCCATCCAGGTACTGGTGTTATTGTTTATCTCTATAAGAACGCATGAAGACAAATATCAACATTACTTACTTTTTTTTCTGGAAAATGTACAACTTGTTCATAGTATTGTGTGTTATTTCTTGGATTGTAACTTTTTTTTTTAAATATATTACTACTACTTTTTTTTAAATCTCTAATGTTTACCACTTGTCTCAACATTTTAACATGCAGCATTAGGACTTGTTTTCACCTTTTTTAGGATGTTAAGTTCATTAATTAAGAATATTTTATCATAGTATTACATCCTTTCTCTTGATATACTACTATCTTTTTATCTATAAGGAGTCCCTTGGATTTCTCCTAAAAGTTACATTTGTACTTTTGCATCATACAGCTAGATTCCGTGTGTAAACTGACTTGATAGTAAACCTGATTCTGATCTGTTTATGTGCAAATACTTCCCATATGTTCAGTGTATTTACCATCACCACTGGTTTGATTATGTATCTCTATTAGAGTGCAGTTGAAGAAACGTAAAAAATCAACATGTTTTTTATACAAATATTTCGACTTTGTCCCAACATTTTTTACTGGGAAAAAGTACAACCTTTTTCATAATATTACAACCTTTCTCCTTGATATATGACCTGACTTCTTATCTCTGCAGGTTTATTACTTAACATAACTAAGGTGTTTTCATCCAGTCGTGTTATTTCTTGAATTTAAACATTTTTTCCCATAGTGCTACTACTTTTTACCTAAAAAACTATTCTGGTTTATTATTCTACCACCATCAGGTACTGGAGTTATTGTTTATCTCTATAAGTGCTCACATTTTAGTAGAAAAATGTAGATATTTTTTATCCAATCATTAGTATAGTTCTCTTTAATTATCAGAACTTTATTTTCTCAAAGTATCAGGACATTTTTTTATGGAAAATACAACTTTTTTCATAGTATTACAACCTTTCTCATAGATATATGACCTCCATTTCTATCTTTAAAGGTAGGGCTGTGCGATTATGGCAAAAATCATAATCACGATTATTGGGGTCAATAATTGATATCACGATTATTAAATACGATTATTCATTGACTTTGAAAAAATCAATTTATTGAACTTTAAAACAAATACAAATAATAATTTGAACAGTATCTTTTTAACTGTTGATTACCCTGAACGTATAATTCAACTGAAAAACCAATACAAAAAGAAATAAAATAAATGATATATTTAAATAAATAATATCAAAATAATAACAAATATTTTGGAGCGCACTTCCACAAGCTACTAAACATATATAAATATGATAAATACAAATAAATGAGACCAAAATGAATTAGATCAAATATGTTGCAGTGCACTGTCACAACCAAGCAAAGCAAAATAATTGTTTTTTTCGATTATGTTGTTTTCGTAATTGTGGCAGGCCAAAATCGTAATTGCGATTAAAATACGATTAATTGCACAGCCCTATTTAAAGGTTACTTAAGGTTTTCACTTAAAATAAGTAAGGTGTTTTCATCCAGTCGTGTTTGTTATCTCTATTGTTTAACACTTGTCTCAACATTTTAAATGCAACATAAGGACTTGTTTTTACCATTTTTAGGATGTTTCTTTAATTAAGAATATGTTATCTTAGTATTAATGCCGTGCTCTTGATATACTACTATCTTTTTATCTCCAAAGTTAACACATGAAACATTTAGAGTTCCTTGAATTATAAAGACTTATTTTCTCCTAAAAAAGTGTTTCACTTGACTTTACACGTGTACTTCAGCATCATACAGCTGAATGCTTTGTGTGAAGCGACTTGATAATAAACCTGATTCTGATCTGTTAGTGTGCAAACACTTTCTCTCTCCTTCTCACCCGGCTCTGCAGCGGTTGCATATCTATTTCCTTTGAGATAAATATCGTATATTTATCTTTCAGCATTTCCTGCTCAGATCCTGTTGAGGTTTGTTAGTTGCATGACTATCGATGCAATATGAAGAACACTTTTCTTTGTGAAAACGTGACTGAAATGTTCTGTTTTCTGACCTTTGTATACACCGAACCATCAGAAACTAAAAATAATGCAAAAATCAAGAATCATAGATAAAATAGAAACAATGCAATAAAAATACATTCGATTTAAAATGTTTTCTCCATCTTTTGTTTGATTATTTGATCCTTAATGGCAGTTTTAGTAGAGAAGAGTGAGTGTGTGCTGCAGCATTTTCCCCCTGCGCTGCAGATATATTCATATATTAGAGGTATTATAAGTCTCTATTAATAATGCATATTCCTCCTGTTTGATCCACGTAATAAATACAGAGCTTCCTGCTTTTAAAAACTCTTCTGGTTGGGTTTCTGTGCAGAGAGCTGAGCTTTATGGTGATGAAGTGTGTTGTTATATAACGAGGGAGAGCGGAGGTTTTCCATCTTTCACTTTGAGTTTTCATTCGCTCTGTTAGTCCGGAGACTCACAGCTGTTTCTCCGTCAGAGACTCCTTCAGGAGGTCTACTTTAAAGAGTCCTCTCCTGCTGATGTTCAGGTGTATATCAGTATGTAGTGTCTCTACTTTAAAGAGTCCTCTCCTGCTGATGTTCAGGTGTATATCAGTATGTAGTGTCTCTACTTTAAAGAGTCCTCTCCTGCTGATGTTCAGGTGTATATCAGTATGTAGTGTCTCTACTTTAAAGAGTCCTCTCCTGCTGATGTTCAGCTGTATATCAGTATGTAGTGTCTCTACTTTAAAGAGTCCTCTCCTGCTGATGTTCAGCTGTATATCAGTATGTAGTGTCTCTACTTTAAAGAGTCCTCTCCTGCTGATGTTCAGGTGTATATCAGTATGTAGTGTCTCTACTTTAAAGAGTCCTCTCCTGCTGATGTTCAGCTGTATATCAGTATGTAGTGTCTCTACTTTAAAGAGTCCTCTCCTGCTGATGTTCAGGTGTATATCAGTGTGTAGTGTCTCTACTTTAAAGAGTCCTCTCCTGCTGATGTTCAGGTCTATATCAGTATGTAGTGTCTCTACTTTAAAGAGTCCTCTCCTGCTGATGTTCAGGTGTATATCAGTATGTAGTGTCTCTACTTTAAAGAGTCCTCTCCTGCTGATGTTCAGGTGTATATCAGTATGTAGTGTCTCTACTTTAAAGAGTCCTCTCCTGCTGATGTTCAGGTGTATATCAGTATGTAGTGTCTCTACTTTAAAGAGTCCTCTCCTGCTGATGTTCAGCTGTATATCAGTATGTAGTGTCTCTACTTTAAAGAGTCCTCTCCTGCTGATGTTCAGCTGTATATCAGTATGTAGTGTCTCTACTTTAAAGAGTCCTCTCCTGCTGATGTTCAGGTGTATATCAGTATGTAGTATCTCTACTTTAAAGAGTCCTCTCCTGCTGATGTTCAGGTGTATATCAGTATGTAGTGTCTCTACTTTAAAGAGTCCTCTCCTGCTGATGTTCAGGTGTATATCAGTGTGTAGTGTCTCTACTTTAAAGAGTCCTCTCCTGCTGATGTTCAGGTCTATATCAGTATGTAGTGTCTCTACTTTAAAGAGTCCTCTCCTGCTGATGTTCAGCTGTATATCAGTATGTAGTGTCTCTACTTTAAAGAGTCCTCTCCTGCTGATGTTCAGCTGTATATCAGTATGTAGTGTCTCTACTTTAAAGAGTCCTCTCCTGCTGATGTTCAGGTGTATATCAGTATGTAGTATCTCTACTTTAAAGAGTCCTCTCCTGCTGATGTTCAGGTGTATATCAGTATGTAGTGTCTCTACTTTAAAGAGTCCTCTCCTGCTGATGTTCAGGTGTATATCAGTGTGTAGTGTCTCTACTTTAAAGAGTCCTCTCCTGCTGATGTTCAGGTCTATATCAGTATGTAGTGTCTCTACTTTAAAGAGTCCTCTCCTGCTGATGTTCAGGTCTATATCAGTATGTACTGTAGTGTCTCTACTTTAAAGAGTCCTCTCCTGCTGATGTTCAGGTCTATATCAGTATGTACTGTAGTGTCTCTACTTTAAAGAGTCCTCTCCTGCTGATGTTCAGGTGTATATCAGTATGTAGTGTATTGTCGTAGCAACTTAAAATCAGCTGCTGTCTTAGAGTAAAAGATGAGTTAGGCAAATATCCAAAGAAACACAATATCTATATAAAGTATTTTGAGATCTTGGTTTTATGTTTGCAAGCAGACACCTCCGCCAAAGAGTGTGTCCTGTTCTGTTACAGCCACTCTTAAAGGGAAACGGCAACGATTATTTACATGACAACACACCAACATGTTGGCCCAGGTGGTCGCCCTATGGCAGTAGGCAAAACTCAAGACCTACAAAGAACAGTTGGGTGTCGCAGCTACCCCCCTAGAGCAAATGTCTTCCTTTGTCCCTGTCCTTCCTGTAGTGTCACGTTATCACACATCCATTTACCTGACATTCTCCGGATGCAGTAGTTTACATTTCATTAGGATTACACTGTATTAAAGGGCCCATGTCATGGCCATTTCCACTGATCATAATTCCATTGTTGAGGTCTACTAGAATAGATTTATATTGTGCATTTTTCCAAACTCACATTGGTTTCTCAAACAGCATCTCTGTAAACTACGTGTATTCACTGAATTTCACTCTCTGCCTTTAACGGCTCGTTGTAGCTCCAATAGCTCCAGCCCCCACCCTCCCTGTGAGCACAGTGGGCTCTGATTGGTCGGGACGTTGTGAATCGCGCTGAGCTCCGTGGAGGTGTTGTTTCCTTGTTTAGGATACATAGCGAAACACAGCCAAACTCATCCTGAGCACACACAAACTCACAGCCGAAGTAAAAACAATAAGTGTGGCTTGATATTGAGTAAGAAAAAGGTTGATAAACGCTGTGAGAATGGGTCTGCAGAGAGAATGGGTCTGCAGAGAGAATGGGTCTGCAGAGAGAATGGGTCTGCAGAGAGAATTTCGCCGCGATCCCAACTGTCTGTTATCAGCCTGCAGCCAGGGAGGAGAAATCAGCTGAGCTGCCTGCTTTCTGCACTGAGTGTGTGTGAGGAAGTCCGTGGATTGGTCAATTTGGACCAATCAGCGGGGGCTTAACGTAACGGCTCCGCGGACGTAACGTAACGGCTCCACGGATTGGTCCATTTCGTTCCGGGTACGGCATGACATCATGCCGTACCCGGAACGAAATGGAAGAATCAAATGGACAATGACGTATCTCCAACGAGGCGTTTTGGGGAGGGTTCGAGTTTTACTCCCTACAGGGTGTACTTTGAGGGTTTTGACTCTGCACACCGTTTACATGCATAAAAACCTTCATAACACAAGGGGACGGGTAATAACCGGAAAAGCATGACATGTGAGCTTTAAGCTTTAATACCATAATTGCCATAACAGTATCTACTTTAAAGAGTCCTCTCCTGCTAATGTTCAGGTGTATATCAGTATGTAGTGTCTCTACTTTAAAGAGTCCTCTCCTGCTGATGTTCAGGTGTATATCAGTATGTAGTGTCTCTACTTTAAAGAGTCCTCTCCTGCTGATGTTCAGGTGTATATCAGTATGTAGTGTCTCTACTTTAAAGAGTCCTCTCCTGCTGATGTTCAGGTGTATATCAGTATGTAGTGTCTCTGCTTTAAAGAGTCCTCTCTTGCTGATGTTCAGGTGTATATCAGTATGTAGTGTCTCTACTTTAAAGAGTCCTCTCCTGCTGATGTTCAGGTGTATATCAGTATGTAGTGTCTCTACTTTAAAGAGTCCTCTCCTGCTGATGTTCAGGTGTATATCAATATGTAGTGTCTGTACTTTAAAGAGTCCTCTCCTGCTGATGTTCAGGTGTATATCAGTATGTAGTGTCTGTACTTTAAAGAGTCCTCTCCTGCTGATGTTCAGGTGTATATCAGTATGTAGTGTCTCTACTTTAAAGAGTCCTCTCCTGCTGATGTTCAGGTGTATATCAGTATGTAGTGTCTGTACTTTAAAGAGTCCTCTCCTGCTGATGTTCAGGTGTATATCAGTATGTAGTGTCTCTACTTTAAAGAGTCCTCTCCTGCTGATGTTCAGGTGTATATCAGTATGTAGTGTCTACTTTAAAGAGTCCTCTCCTGCTGATGTTCAGGTGTATATCAGTATGTAGTGTCTCTACTTTAAAGAGTCCTCTCCTGCTGATGTTCAGGTGTATATCAATATGTAGTGTCTGTACTTTAAAGAGTCGTCTCCTGCTGATGTTCAGGTGTATATCAATATGTAGTGTCTCTACTTTAAAGAGTCCTCTCCTGCTGATGTTCAGGTGTATATCAGTATGTAGTGTCTCTACTTTAAAGAGTACTCTCCTGCTGATGTTCAGGTGTATATCAATATGTAGTGTCTGTACTTTAAAGAGTCCTCTCCTGCTGATGTTCAGGTGTATATCAGTATGTAGTGTCTCTACTTTAAAGAGTCCTCTCCTGCTGATGTTCAGGTGTATATCAGTATGTAGTGTCTCTACTTTAAAGAGTCCTCTCCTGCTGATGTTCAGGTGTATATCAGTATGTAGTGTCTGTACTTTAAAGAGTCCTCTCCTGCTGATGTTCAGGTGTATATCAGTATGTAGTGTCTGTACTTTAAAGAGTCCTCTCCTGCTGATGTTCAGGTGTATATCAGTATGTAGTGTCTACTTTAAAGAGTCCTCTCCTGCTGATGTTCAGGTGTATATCAGTATGTAGTGTCTCTACTTTAAAGAGTCCTCTCCTGCTGATGTTCAGGTGTATATCAGTATGTAGTGTCTCTACTTTAAAGAGTCCTCTCCTGCTGATGTTCAGGTGTATATCAGTATGTAGTGTCTCTACTTTAAAGAGTCCTCTCCTGCTGATGTTCAGGTGTATATCAGTATGTAGTGTCTCTGCTTTAAAGAGTCCTCTCTTGCTGATGTTCAGGTGTATATCAGTATGTAGTGTCTCTACTTTAAAGAGTCCTCTCCTGCTGATGTTCAGGTGTATATCAGTATGTAGTGTCTCTACTTTAAAGAGTCCTCTCCTGCTGATGTTCAGGTGTATATCAATATGTAGTGTCTGTACTTTAAAGAGTCCTCTCCTGCTGATGTTCAGGTGTATATCAGTATGTAGTGTCTGTACTTTAAAGAGTCCTCTCCTGCTGATGTTCAGGTGTATATCAGTATGTAGTGTCTCTACTTTAAAGAGTCCTCTCCTGCTGATGTTCAGGTGTATATCAGTATGTAGTGTCTGTACTTTAAAGAGTCCTCTCCTGCTGATGTTCAGGTGTATATCAGTATGTAGTGTCTCTACTTTAAAGAGTCCTCTCCTGCTGATGTTCAGGTGTATATCAGTATGTAGTGTCTACTTTAAAGAGTCCTCTCCTGCTGATGTTCAGGTGTATATCAGTATGTAGTGTCTCTACTTTAAAGAGTCCTCTCCTGCTGATGTTCAGGTGTATATCAGTATGTAGTGTCTGTACTTTAAAGAGTCCTCTCCTGCTGATGTTCAGGTGTATATCAATATGTAGTGTCTGTACTTTAAAGAGTCCTCTCCTGCTGATGTTCAGGTGTATATCAGTATGTAGTGTCTGTACTTTAAAGAGTCCTCTCCTGCTGATGCTCAGGTGTATATCAGTATGTAGTGTCTGTACTTTAAAGAGTCCTCTCCTGCTGATGTTCAGGTGTATATCAGTATGTAGTGTCTCTACTTTAAAGAGTCCTCTCCTGCTGATGTTCAGGTGTATATCAGTATGTAGTGTCTACTTTAAAGAGTCCTCTCCTGCTGATGTTCAGGTGTATATCAGTATGTAGTGTCTCTACTTTAAAGAGTCCTCTCCTGCTGATGTTCAGGTGTATATCAGTATGTAGTGTCTCTACTTTAAAGAGTCCTCTCCTGCTGATGTTCAGGTGTATATCAGTATGTAGTGTCTGTACTTTAAAGAGTCCTCTCCTGCTGATGTTCAGGTGTATATCAATATGTAGTGTCTGTACTTTAAAGAGTCCTCTCCTGCTGATGTTCAGGTGTATATCAATATGTAGTGTCTCTACTTTAAAGAGTCCTCTCCTGCTGATGTTCAGGTGTATATCAGTATGTAGTGTCTCTACTTTAAAGAGTCCTCTCCTGCTGATGTTCAGGTGTATATCAGTATGTAGTGTCTCTACTTTAAAGAGTCCTGTGTGTTGCAGAGAGACATTGATCCCTCAGTGTATTTTAGTCGGAGAATAATCAATGTTGTCGCTCTGTGTATTGTTGGGGTCGATGTGAGTTCAGCACTGGCCTCGGGGGGGGAATTTATGCAACCAGTGGCTCGACACACACACACACACACACACACACACACACTCCTAAACCAGACTGCACTGATAAAAACACACATTTTGCAGAACATAACCGTTGTTTTCAAATTAAAAGTGTAATTTATATGTTGATACTTTTTTTTTTATCTACCATGAAACAACTGGTGTTTTTGTCAATGGAGTTTGGTGGCTTTGAAACGACAGATAACTCGTCTTCTCACGGTAAATATTAGACATATATATTCACCTTTGACCTCCATATCTGCAGTTATGTGTCACTGTGCCAGTAAACACGCTCTGCAGTATTTGAACGGTTATGTGAGAGCCTGTTTTCCATTCCTCACAAGCATGACCTCGAGTTACAGAATTGGATAGACTTGTTGTGCTTTGGCTCACAAATGTCATTGAGACACACACACACACACACACACACACACACACACACACACACACACACTCACACACACTCAAAATAGGACCCAAAGACTTCTCCTTTTGTAACTTCCTGCGGCTCGTTTGAAACCCTCGCTCAGTGTAGTAGATGTAATACCTCGATGTAGTAATCCTCATCATCATCCTCCTCCTCCTCCTCCTCCTCTTATATAATCTGGAGTGTTTCTTCATACCAAAGATGGATGCTGGGTGGATGAGGCCACGTCATCCTGCCTGTCGGATTATTTTTAGCCCTCTGTTCCTCCTGGGTGTTAATCAGAGCTTTTCATTGGTCGGATGAACGAACAGGAAGCAGGGCTGTAGGACCTGTAGAAACCAACCTGACGGCGTTTAAAGAGACATGTTTCTGATGCAGACATTATGTTTACTTTACATTAGGGTCTCATGGGGTTGTTTCCCTCAAACTAGGATTTAAATAACACAATATACAAATATCTGTGTCATCTCTCATCACATTTGATATCAGCGTCTTTTGCAGAAAGAAAAACAAAGACAGATTTGAAGTGTATAGTTGTTTGACCACATTTACCTTACAGTGACCCCCCGCCCCCCCCCCCCCCCCCCCCCCCACTCTCCTCTCAGGTACAGGTGATCTCCTGGCCATCATGATCCCGGAGCCTAAAGGTCGGGAGGTCGCGGCGCTGCTAGAGCGCAACGTGACGGTAACCATGACGATCACCATCGGCACCAGGAACCTGCAGAAGTACGTGAGCCGAACCTCGGTGGTGTTCGTCTCCATCTCCTTCATCGTGCTGATGATCATCTCCTTAGCCTGGCTCGTCTTCTACTACATCCAGAGGTTCAGATACGCCAACGCACGGGACCGCAACCAGGTACACACACACACACACACACACACACTCACACTCACACTCACACTCACACAGAGACACACACACACATACATACATACCCTGTATACATCACTTCAGGGGACATTACATTGACTTACATGCATTTCCTGGAGACTTATCCTAACCTTAACCATAACCAACACATGCCTAACCCTTACCCTTAACCTAACCAAGTCTTCACCCTAAAATTAATGATTCCCCTTATGGGGACCTCCATTTTGTCCCCATAAGGGAGGCGAGTCCCCACACGTGACTGTGTAAACAGATTTAGGTCCCCACATAGTAATGCTAGGCCACACACACACACACTGAAACACACACTGAGACACACACACTGAGACAGAGAGACACACACACACACACACACACACACACACACACCGAGACAGAGAGACACACACACACACACACACACACACACACACACATACGCACACACACACACACACACACGCACACCGTACATTTAAGCTTTAACTCTGAAGTGCATTATTGATGAACTGGAGCTAAAGGTTGATATTTAGTGTTGTGGTTATCAGGCTAGTTAGCCGTGCTAGCGTCTTTAGCATGCAGTTCCAATATAAGCTCCACGTTTGGTCTAAAAGATGTTAGAAAACAAACAACGTTCCAAAAAGAAATGAAATCTGGGGTTAGCTTTTACCGCCTAGCGACTCTTCACTGATCTGGGTTGAGCTTCCACTTGGAGCGTCGTGTTTTCCTCCCTGCTTGAGTCTAAGGCGCCGTTTACACGAGGAGAAAACTGCTTGTATCTGCATAGTTTCGCGTGCGTATAGCCCTATTATTTACACGAGGCCGATAGAAACTGACCCCACAAACGATAACGGGTCCCAAGGTGGATAGATTTGCAAACGAAACGCTCTGGGGGGTCAAACGAGTCCGTGTAATCACCTCTATACGAATATTTCCTGAAAAAATAGCGATAGCCCCGCCTCTCCCCACCTCTCCTGCTCACTGCTGTAGCAACTATCAAAAATAGCTGTGTTAATTAAACGCACAAGGGGTTCTTGAATGAAATAATATTATAAAAGGCAAACCAGAATAGTTAACGCCCAATATACTCCTTAAACAAAATAAACAGAGTCGGATTTCATGCATTGATCCATTATATTGACAAAGGAGGATCTCACCCGGTGTTTGTAGAGAATATCTCTCTTTTCTGAGCCGTCCTCTCCACGGAGACGTCGGTCGATGCAATATCCACAGATTCGGTTTCTTTCAGTTAACTTCCCCGTTGCATTTATCCATATGCTGAGGAAATGACTATATCCCGCTGAATACCAGCAATCGCCACACACACTTCCTCCTGTCAGTAGCTACTGCTAGTGCTACTGCTACTGACCATGCTACAGATATTAGTGCAAAAATCTACAGCTCCTCTACCACAACCATCAGCAACAAGTGGACATGGAGAATTACATGAACTACATGTTGCTAAATACACCGCGGGGCATAAACAGAAGGGTAGCCATGGCAACATTGCTGCGGGGGCTGCTGGGCTGCCCTTCTTCGCGGCTTTTGGTGTATTTTGTGGCGGAAGTTACAGCGCCACTTACAGTCCCGGCATATGTACTACAGCGTTTCCAGCGGTCTCGTTTGAACAGACACGTTAAATGAAACTAATGCATGTGAACGGAAGACTTTTTTGAATACGCATACTGTGCATAAACGCAAACGGTCCCGTGTGAGCGGGGCCTAAATCTCTCCCTCTTTCTCCCCCTGAGTCTAAATCGCTCCCTCTTTTTCCCCCTGAGTCTAAATCTCTCCCTCTTTCTCCCCCTGAGTCTAAATCTCTCCCTCTTTCTCCCCCTGAGTCTAAATCTCTCCCTCTTTCTCCCCCTGAGTCTAAATCTCTCCCTCTTCCTCCCCCTGAGTCTAAATCTTTCTCTCTCCCTCTTCTTCCGCTCAGAGGCGCCTGGGCGATGCGGCGAAGAAGGCGATCAGTAAGCTCCAGGTCCGAACCATCAGGAAAGGAGACCAGGAGACGGAGGGAGACTTTGATAACTGTGCCGTGTGCATCGAGGGATACAAGCCCAACGACGTGGTGCGAATTCTGCCCTGCAGGTAACACACACAGAGAGAGAGAGAGAGAGGTGGTTATATATACAGGGGGTTTAGAGAGTGTGTGATTCAGTAGTTAAAGCTGTGTTTGTCTGCAGACACCTGTTCCATAAGAGCTGCGTGGACCCCTGGCTGCTGGACCACCGGACCTGCCCCATGTGCAAGATGAACATCCTCAAAGCCCTCGGCATCGCTGTGAGTCTCTGATATAACATCGTTAAGAGTGCCAACTTCTGCAGTACAATAGCACAAAAGTAGTTTTACAACCTGCTTTTACTCAGGAATCTGCATTAAGTAAGGTCAAGAAAATGTGTTTCAAACATCGTGAATCACCATATCATGTATTTTCTTTTTGCATTAGGGTTTGATAGTTAATATAGGTCATTTAAATCAATACAAAAATATATATTTCTTGTGTCACAGCCAGTAATGACCTCTGATACGTTGTTTTCTCTTGGTCCCGCCCCTCCTGGCATCCCATTGGCTCTTCTCTCTGGATGCTGTGTTCTGATTGGCTGCTAAGCCTCTTTTGTTGATGAACTGGTTCTAAAGAGTGTTTTCATATTTTATCTGTTCTTTTCTTTCTACTTTATTGTTATTTCCTGTCTTTCCTGCTTTTTCACGAATCTTTTCTCCAGATTTCTTTGTTTTCGGGATTCTTTTCGTGCCATCTTGTTGAAAAACGTTAATTAAAACTGATCTCTAAACTGCCCCCTCTCTCTCCAGCTGAACGCAGACTGTCTGGAAGACCTCCCTCTGGACTACGACCTGACCGTGGGGGGGGTCGGGGGGGCGCTGGCTCTGGAGGCCGTGGTGTCGGGGGGGTCGAGCGACGGGACCCTCAGTGAGGGGGGGGGGCTCCTCCGTGCTGCTGGACCCCGGGGTCAGGAGGGTGGGACTGCCTCAGGACTACCAGGACCCTCTGAGAGACAGCCCTGTTACCATGACTACTGACACACTCACAGGTACACACTCTCTC